GTAATTTCACTTCTTGGAATATCTTTTTCTTTTAAGGAAACAGAAAGTTGGAAAACATTTAGGTATAGGCATCTGCATCACAGTACAATTTATAATAGAGGATAATTAGCTGCAAACATCCTAAAAAACCAATATCAGGGTCATGGTTTAAGTAGGCATTAATAAAGCCTTTAAGTGGTATTTCCAAAAATATATTCTTAATGACATGAGAAAAAAACTTATGATTTGTTGTAAAATGAAAAAAGCATAATATAAAATTGTAGCTATATCTTTACTAAGATTTTATTTAAAAATAGGCATGGAAGAAGGCTGGAGGGAATTACTGCTGAATATTAACCGTTGTTACCTCTGGGTGGTGGGATCTCATTCACTGTCTACAATGATCATGCATTATCTTTATAATTCAAAAGAATTTTTATATATGTAAAGGAGGAGAAAATTTAAAAACTGTAATCTTAGGTTGCATTAATAGAGGTAGGAGTTTTAGGGCAAGAGAGGCAATAATCTGGATTCTGATGAACCAGAGTGTCATGTCCAGCATACAGGGAGGGTGGCACATGGTAAGGGGAAAGTAGGCTGGGCGGGCGCAGTGACTCACGCCTGTAATCCCAGCACTTTGAGAGGCCAAGGTGGGTGGATCACCTGAGGTTAGGAGTTCAAGACCAGCCTAGCCAACATAGTGAAAAATACAACTGTTAAAAGAAAATACAACTATTTTAGTCTCTACTAAAAATACAAAAATACAACTATTTGAGAAAAATACAACTATTTTAGTCTCCACTAAAAAGATAAGAATTAGCCAGGCCTGGTGGTACACACCTGTAATCCTAGCTACTGGGAAGGCTGAGGCACAAAAATTGCTTAAACCCGGGAGACAGAGATTGCATTGAGCCAAGATCATGCCACTGTACTCCAGCCTGGGCAACAGAATGAGACTTCATCATTTAAAAAAAAAAAAAAAGTAAACAAATTGCAGGTTGGCCAGAGACTTCTGGAAATCAGGATTATCTGGAGGCATGGGAGGGGAGGGCAGGCTCAGTCTGGACCTGGTGGCTGTCTATATGTGGCTGCAGTACTATTTGGGAAGGACAGAACTGAGTGTCCCATGGCTCTGGGATCAGAGCCAAGGCTAGAGAGGGATTCTTAAAGGTGGAGAGAGATGTTCTGATGATACCTCTTCCTGCAAATGTCAATGGTCATGCCAGCGTTGGTGTGAAAAGGAAGAATCCCTAGTCAAAAAACTGGAGGTCAATGATAGAACCATAAGGCCGGCAAGCCAGTGGCCAGTGAGCCAGTGTGTTAGATTGGGAAGAAGTTTTGACATCATCCAGCTTGACAGCCCTCTACTTTGTTTATGTGCAGCTCGTGATGTCCTCATGCTCCCATGGGTCATAGATAAGGTGACCTTGGGTTATGCAAAATTCCCAGTGCACTCCACGTAACCCCATCCTTGTCTTTCCTACTCAGGAAGGCAATGTGAATCTAAGTGACTGGAATTCATCTTATTACAGAAACAACCTTGACTTTTTTCTGATTCATGCAAAGTAGCAGCATCACTCGTGAGTTTCAGATCAATGATGAGTGACAAGTTACCCCATGCAACGCCTCCTCATACCTCATTGTCACGTACATGTTTCTCATCCAACTCTTTCATTTCACAATGGGGAAATTGAGGCCTAGAGAAGGGAAACAGCCACAGTCAAGCGAGCGTGAGAGGTGTGAGGTAGGAGCCGAGTCTCCTAACTCCAAACGGTGGCTCTTTCTGTAACTGAGAGCCACCCCCTGTCAACTTAGATTTTGGTTGGTGGCAGCATGGGAGAGACTGGTGAGAGGTAAGAAGCAAGCAAAGGAAAAGAAAGGTGTGAACCTGCTGTGTTTCATGCCAGCCACATCACCAGGGAGATGCCTGTGTCCAACAAACCTAGCATTTTCCGGAGCCCCCGGCCTGAGAGGGTTTCATGGTGAAACCCCATCTCTACTAAAAATACAAAAATTAGCCAGGCATAGTGGTACACACCTGTAATCCTAGCTACTGGGGAGGCTGAGGCACAATAATTACTTGAACCTGGGAGGCAAAGGTTCCAGCAAGCCAGTGCTTAGAGGTGAGGTGGGACCATGAAGGTGCTCGTCTGGGTTGAATCGTGCCTCCTGCCACTTACATGGAAGTTTTAACCCTTAATGCCTCAGAATGTAACCTTATTTGGAAATAAGGTCTTTTGAGGGGTAATCAAGTTAAACTGAAATCATTAGGATGGGTCCTAATCCAATATGGATGATGTCCTTATAAAAGGGAAATTTAGACACAGAGACAGACACAGGGAAAGGGAGAACACCAGGTGAAGATGAAGGCAGAGATGGGAGTGGTGCGTCTAAAAGCCAAGGAGTGCCGAAGATTGCCAGCAGAACACCAGAGCTAAGAGAGACACGTGGAGCAGTCTCCCTCACAGCCCTTGGAAGGAACCAGCCCTTTGGATAGCTCGATCTCAGACCTCTGGCCTCCAGACTGAGAATCAGTTTCTGTTGCTTAAGCCTTGCAGTTTGTGTCACTTTGGTACAGTACCTGGCAAGGGAATACAGGTGGGACGGGGCTTATAGCCGCTCTTCACTGCATAGTCTTCACTGTACCCCGACCCCAAACGGTATGATCCCAGCCCCACAACACTGTCCTCATTCTTAAATCCCCAGCCCATATGTCCTTGCGTTTGCGTGGCAATCGGTTTAGGACCCAGCTCGTCTTGCCAAAGGTCCACGTTCCTGAGCCCCAGCCTGATCCCAGCTCTGATACTAAGCTCAAAGTGGGTGAGCTTTGAGGAAGGAAAGGATGCCATCTCTGCTCACCAAAACCTTTCTTCTCCTACCTTTCCAAACTAGGAAAGTTTGGGGATAACAGAAACAGCAGACAAGGGTTCTCAGGCCACTTGGGTAACGCTAGCTCTAAAAGGACAACTTTTTTTTCCCCCTTGAGATGGAGTTTCGCTTTTGTCACCCAGGCTGGAGTACAATGGCACAGTCTTGGCTCACTGCAACCTCTGCCTCTCATGTTTAAATGATTCTCCTGCCTCAGCCTCCCAAGTAGCTGGATTACAGGCATGCTCTACCATGCCTGGCTAATTTTGTATTTTTAATAGAGATGGGGTTTCTCCGTGTTGATCAGGTTGGTCTCAAACTCCTGACCTCAGGTGATCCACCCGCCTCAGCCTCCCAAAGTAAAAGAACAACTTCTAACCTGCAGCCTCTCGCCTCTCACCCTGGCTGGAGGAGAATCTCTTAGACAAGGACCTCAACTTCCAGGGGTCATGGATTTCCAATGTGTGAACAGCCTCCTTTTTGAGGCTTTCAGGATTGAGCCCAGCCTCACTCAATCCAGCAGTGGTTCAGATCCCTGAGAGGGAGAGGTTATTGCTGGAGACTAGCTGGAGAAGTCAGGGAGGGCTTCCTGGAACTTCTGTTAGCCTGGCTGAAAGGTGTGAGCTTAATTTTACTGCATGATTCCTGAGCCAGGCACAGTCACATACTTTCACTTATTTGGTTTCCCATCACTTGTGAGGCAGGTGATGCTATTTGCATTTTAGGGAATAGAAAACTGAGACTTAGAGAAGTGAAATGATTGACTCCAGACCACAGTATTTAAATTCAGGGCCCTCCGATGCTAAAGCTCATCTCACTATTCTGCAGTAAGGCCTTTTCCAGGGTCCAGTAGTATTTAAAGGATTGGTGGAATTTTGAGGTATGGGGTCAGGGACACGGCATGCTGACACAGGAGCAGGGTGGGAATGTACTGGGTGAATCCGGGGAGCCATGAGGAAACTGGCCTGATCGATTTCAGGGATTCAGAGGGAGCAATGCAAACCACAGCTGGAAGAGGAAGAGGGTGGTAATTTATTAGGCTGAGCATTCAGACTCGCTGGGTAAGCAGCAAGTGAGTGAGTGAGCTGTGGATGAGGGGTACAGAGCTGGTGTTTTCAACACATATCCTGATGGAAGAGGGGCCAACTTGCCAACCTGCTGTAAAGGCATCATGGCTTTCAAGGAGAAGGATGTGGCCATATCAGATAGGCCCCATTCCCTTCTTCAGCCCTAGCCCCAGAGGTCCCCCTGGGAAGGGAGGACAACCAGCTTGCCTCTGAGGGTCACTACCTAGTGCTCTCCCCTGCCTGGGTCACCTTCCACATAGGTCAATTCTGCCAGCAGTCACCTGGGTCACCTTCCACATAGGTCAATTCTGCCAGCATCGTCAGCCACGCCTCCTGTATCTCGATGGCTCATCGGGACCTACGTGCCCTTCAGCCTGTCAATCCCTCCTCTGACTTTGCACAGGCAGTGTTCTCTTTCCCTCCCCATTGAACTCCTAGTCAAGACCCAGTTCAATTGTTCATTTTGTTTCTGCAGCCTTGGTGACTCATTGGCAAGACTCAGCCTCTTCCACTTCCGTACATTGCCATTGTCCTTACTGAGGTCTGGGTGCATGGAGAGCAGATAAGAAGCAGATCTTTAAGTTGCTCCTCCTGGTGGGCAGACTAGAAAGGGCCAAGGTAGGAAGGACAAGTGACCTAAGCTTCTCTTCCCAAATACCAAGGATGAGGATGAGGTGAGGTGAGCGCAGGGCCCGTCTGAACTGGACCGTGAAGGGTTTGGCTGGCAGGCATGCTTGGGGAGCAAACCATCCAGTATGGAAGCACTTTGTAGGGGGCAGTGTGGCCAGATCAGCGACGGGCATGGGGGAGGCAGGGCAAGGACACTTATGCTTTGACCACTGATTAATGGGCTGGAGCAGTGGGGACAAAAAGAAGATAGTGTCCGAGGCTTTTCAAAAGGCAGAGCATTTAGGAATCAGGGCTGTTGGGGCCAGAAGGTATGAGTTTGAGGGTTCAAGGTGCTGGCTGGAGTTGGGGGTTACAGAGACCAAAGAGATTATGGACCAAGAAGAAAAGGAAGCCTGGGCAAAATAACTCTATCCCTCCCACCCCCAGCACATATGATAGTATAAATACACACCTAGCTTGTGATCAAGTCCTGTTTATTTTAGAAGCATGAGCAGTAGAACTAGGAAGGAGTGATGAAAACAAGGCTCCAGTTCCCTTGATAGGGCCAGATCCGGCACAGGCTCTGTCTGTGAGATTAAGGCTGACCCAGCAGCCTCAATCTGCCTTTTCCTGTGAGGCGAGGGTGTGAGGCCAACCTGCGCACGGGTGACTCTCCCGTAGGGTGAGGCTGGGGTAAGTTGGCTCTGGGTCCCTCTGGATCGGTTGCAAAAGGCCAGAGGGCCCCCAATACCCTTGGCCAGGAGCCTCCCATGCTGACTCTGTCTGTGTTCAGGCAAAGCCACATACTGGAGAGGAAGCCATAGTGCCTGGTGGGCACCAGGAAGGCCTCAGGTGTTCAAGAACAACTTGCAATGCGGCTCTATGGCCAGCAGGCATCTGCTTCCCTGGCCCGGTCATCAATGCAGAGTCTTCAAGGAGGGGGCATCCCAGGCAGCCAGACTTCTCAGGACCCCTCTGTCGGGGTGACATAAGCCCCAGGCCTCTATACATACTGCTTCTTAGAAGCAGAGCTGCTGGGGCGACTGGGGGATTTTCGGCCATTCTGAGGGGGTGGATCCAGGAAGAGAGGGGGCCTAGAAGAAGCCAGCCTCTCCTCCGTGGTCAGGTTGGCCCAGTTCTGCTCGCTGGATGAGAGCCCATTGTAGGTGGGGCATGGCGGGGATGAGGGCCCCTGGCCCATGGGGAGGTAGAAGAAGACCTGGTCCGTGTAAGGGTCTGAGGAGGTGCCCTGGGTTGGGGGTGCGTCTTGGCCCTGCCGTGCCTTCATCCCCCGGCTGAGGCAGCGACACAGCAGGTGCACCAACTCCAGCAGGTTAAGCACCAGGGAGATGAGTCCGACCACCAGCATGAAGATGATGAAGATAGTCTTCTCCGTGGGGCGAGAGACAAAGCAGTCCACGAGGTAGGGGCAGGGCGCTCGCTGGCACACAAACACAGGCTCCATTGTCCAGCCATACAGGCGCCACTGGCCATAGAGGAAGCCTGCCTCTAGCACGCTCTTGCAGAGCACGCTGGCCACATAGGTGCCCATCAGTGCTCCACGGATGCGCAGGCGACCATCTTCTGCCACCGAGATCTTGGCCATCTGACGCTCTACAGCCGCCAGCGCCCGCTCCACCTGTGGGTCCTTGGCCGGCAGTGCCCGCAGCTCTCCCTCCTTCTGCCGCAGCCGCTCTTCTCGCCGAGAGAGGTAAATGACATGGCCCAGGTAGACCAGGGTGGGCGTGCTGACAAAGAGGAACTGCAGCACCCAGTAGCGGATGTGGGAGATGGGGAAGGCCTGGTCATAGCAGACGTTGGTGCAGCCTGGCTGGGCCGTGTTGCACTCGAAATCTGACTGCTCGTCACCCCACACTGACTCGCCAGCAAGTCCCAGGATAAGGATGCGGAAGATGAAGAGCACTGTCAGCCAGATCTTGCCCACCACGGTGGAGTGCTCCTGGACCTGGTCCAGCAGCTTCTCGAGGAAGCCCCAGTCACCCATGGCTCCCGGGCCTCCGTCTGCAAGGAGACAGAGCGTGTCAGCATGTCAGCATGGCATCCTTCTTGTTCGCCTAGCAACAAGTCTTCCAGGGAGGTCTGCCTCGCCCGTCCTACCTACAAAGAAACCCAGGCTCAGGAAGGGGAAGGACCAGCCTGGGGGCTCCTACTCAGCAGTGCAGGCAGGACTCAAAGCAGATTTTTGGATGATGGCTGCTTTGCATGGTATTCTGCTATGGCTCTACCTAATCACATATCTATGTCCCCCTTGTCCCCGATCCACCGCCCCAGGATGGCCACAGGCCAAGGAAATCTGGGTGGAGTTGAGGCTCCTTCGCCTATGGGAACAGAATTTGAGGAACTTAACCAAGGCTGTGCAGCTGGGCTATGCCCTTCCTCCCTTTTGCCCAAGGTTGGCTACCCACAGAGCGTGGGGGCTGGTGCTGTTGGTAGAGGTGTTATCTTCTGCTTCTTAGGGGGCTCAAAGCCTCAGGTCCTTGCTCCCCGCTTCATATCTTACCCAGCTGGCTTCATTCTAATCTTTGAGCCACAGGGGATGGGAAGAAGGAGAGCTTCTAGAAGCTGAAAGCAGCAGCATCCTTTAGCTCTACCTGTCAGCTATAATGACCATGGTCTTCTTCCTCCACCTCCACTCCCACCCCCTCCCACCCCTAAAGCTGATGCTGCCAAATTCTAGACTCTTGAAAGGAATCGTCACTGCAGAGCGAGGCACAGGCCACAAAGTTCCCAACGGGGAAGTGCCTCTTCCCAGGTGCAAAGCTGTTTCCAGCCAGGCTCTGGAAGCGGCCCTGGGTTCAAATCTCGGCTTTCAGTAACTGCGGCCCCTTGGATAAGGAACAAACCTCTGGGCGCCTCAGTCTCCTCTACTGTAGCGTGGAAACAATAGTATTCCTACCGCCTCCACTTGTTACAAGGATTCCATGGAAAGAGGGTGGGAGCCTGGCCAAGGCCACCTGGGTGAGCGCAGCTCTGTCGCTGCTGCGTTCCGCAGCAACCCTCGTCCAGGCCTCGGAGGACCCAAGACTCCGCCCGGCCTCCCGCGAGCAGGTGGCGTCCCCGGTCCCCTCCTACCTTGCGACTCACCGCCTGCCTGCCGGGCGGCCCAGGTGGAGGTGGGGACGCTGGCCGGAACGGCGCCCGCGGGAGCCCTGCTGGACCGCGCGGGCGGCGGGGGCGCCTTAAATAGCGCAGAGGGGCGGGGTGGGGGCAGGAAACGAGATGGGGAGGGCGGCGGGCGCTGGAGAGAGGGCGGGGGCGGGGACTGGGAGGTGCAGACTCCCTAAACCCAGTCCCGGGAGGTGGCCCGGTGATTTGGGGTGGAGGCAAGAGGGTCTGACCTATCCCTCCTCTCCTCCGTTCTTTCTCCACCAGGTATTCCAGACGGTAAACTCTCCTTCTGTAGTTTCTTTGGCAGGGGAAGGGGAGTTCTCCCAGGCCAGGGTCTCTCAGGGTGGCTGGTTTTGAAAGGGTTGCGGTAAGAGCTGTTGATCTGATCTACTTGCCTGCGGGCCTGTGAGGGTGGGCGGATAGGGCTGAGTCGTGGGGACCCCTCATTTGCTAGGTGGCCCTAGTGTGCCAGGATGAGGTGATCCAGGCTGATTACGGTGTGGAGAGCCACAACGGGGGACGGATTGTAATCCAGAGTTCCAGCATCTGTGGTAGAGCTGGGGTCTGCCTACACCTAGCCCTTGTTCTTCCAGAATTCTCAAACATCTCCATGCCTGGGCAGGCTACACAATCAGAGGCCATTAAGCAACTCCCATGGACTCCTTGAGACGGGGGTCGTGGAACCGCCTGACCTTTAGCTTAGATTCCATTCTCATGCCTGTAAACGGTGGCCAGGTGATGCGGGTACATCCCTAGGAATGAAAGGGCTACGTAGAGCCTGCATTCAGGCATCACAGGTGGATGAACATCCATGAGGGTCTGCTGTGCTGCAGATGCTGCTTGGGGACCTGGGAATACCATGATGAACCAGCCAAACCTGCTCTCTGGCCTCCTCCTTCACTGGCTGCCGGTGCAGGGATTGAGCATATCAGCACTTGGATAACGGTAAAATGATAAATGTGGAAAGTTCTCCTGAGAGGCACTGGATGATTCCCAGGGGACTTGGTTAGAAACATTTCCTGGAAGAGAGGAAATGCTCTTCCTCCTCCATTAGCCAAGTGGAGGGGATGAGCATTCTAGGTAGAGAGGCAGCATGAGCATGGCTAGAGGGCCTGGAGCTGTGGGGTCCTGAGACGGTGGCCACGACCCTCAGTGCTGAGACTTTGTTGGTGGCTGAGCCCAGGAGTTGAGACTTTGCTGTTGACTCCTGTACCCTTAGGCAAGTTACTGAAATCCCTGTGCCTCAATTTCTTCCTCTACAGAATGAGGACAGTAATAGAATCTACTTTGCAGGGTTGATGGCATATAGTGTGTACCATCATCAAAGCACATAGTGTAATGGTGGTAGATAAAGTTTTTCAAGTGAGTAGAGGCTAAAAACATTGTGATACTATAACAAAAAGGGCCTGTGGGCTGTTCTTGGAGGGTGGTAGGGGTTGGCACAGCTGAGGAAAGGGAAGGTGGCAGGGGGCTACTGACCAGGGGTGGTGGGGCTGGTGGCACAAAAGCCCCTGTTCCTCCACAACAAGATTCAGTCCTTGGATTCCCTGGGCCCCAGGGCTGGGTCCCTGAGGGTTCTGTCTTCTGGCCCAGCAGGAGGACATCTTTGGCGGTGAGTGGGGACACTCAGACCTGAAAACTTCAGGGATGACTGCCCCTGGGGGGATCCGACTGAGCTGGCTTCCCCTCTAGGCTTCTCCTTCAGGGCCAGGCTGAACTGAGTCTCCTGGATTTCTGAAGCTAACAACTGCCCCATTTAGTTCTGACCCTTGAGGGCATGAGAACCAAGGCTCCTGGAGGCTGGTTCTCACCACGCCCCCACTGCAGCTCTGCCCACTCCCGAGTTCCTCTCCTGGGGCCGGCCCCAGCTCTCCCAAAGCTTTTCTGATTCAGTCTACTGGGAAGAGGGAAGAGCGAGGGGAGGGCTGGGGAGTGACGTCAAGGCAGCCCTCACCCTGCTCTGACCTCTTCCTCAAATTAGGAGGTTCGAAAACTCTGCCTCTTCCCCAGAGGGTGAAGAAGCTGGGATCAACCAAGACAACAGTTACCACAACCTGACCTTTCCACCTGGGAAACGTCCCGGGAACCCCACACTTCCCTGCATTCCCACTGCCCTGGACCTGTTCAGGCTGCTGCCACGTCAGTGGCCTCCCGGCTGGTCTCCTGGCCTCTGGCCCCACCCCTTCAGCCAAGCCTCCACACTTCCCTAGGAATCAGACCAACATTGCCCTGCTGAAAAGTCATCTATGGCTCCCTGTCACCTTCTGGGTAAGCCCTAGGCTCCCCAACCTCCAGTCCTTGGCCACTTCTCCAGCCTTACTCTTCACCCTTCTCTCTGGACCCAACCAGATCTCACTGCTGGGGTTCTCTGTGCACTCTTGCCTTCGTCTGTGCTGTTCCGTCTGCGGGAGCACCCTCACATGCCGACCCCTGTGAATCAGGACCTTTATCAGTTGTTGCCTTCTCCCAGAAGTCTCCATGCTGTCCTCCTCTGGGCTAGCTATACCTTTGTGCTCTCAGTGGCTCAGCTACTACCCATGGTGCATTGTTTTTGTTGTTATTTAAACATTTTAAATTGTGTTAAAGAGCACCTCCCATAAAATGCATCACCTTAAGGGTTTTAAGCATACAGTTCAGTAGTGTTGAGTATATTCACGTTGTTGTGCAACAGATCTCCAGAGTTTTGTCATCTTGCAAAACTGAAACTCTGTCTCTAGGAAGCCACTCCACTTTCCCCCCTTTCCCCATTCCCTGGTGCGTGGTCTACTTGTCTTCCATTAGACTGTGAGCCCCTTGAGGGCAGGCAGCTGGGTCTTTGTATCTCCACCACCTAGCAGTGTACCAGGCCTGTATGTAAATTTGTTAATTCAACAAGTAGTTTGGTGCAAAAGTAATTGTGGTTTTGCTATTAAAAGTAATAGTTACTCTTTTCCTCCCCGGCTTTGTAAGGATAGGCCGCCATCATGAATGACACAGTAACTATCCGCACTAGAAAGTTCATGACCAACCGACTGCTTCAGAGGAAACAAATGGTCATTGATGCCCTTCACCCCAGGAAGGCAACAGTGCCTAAGACAGCAATTCGGGAAAAACTAGCCAAAATGTACAAGACCACACTGGATATCATCTTTGTATTTGGATTCAGAACTCATTTTGGTGGTGGCGAGACAACTGGCTTTGGCATGATTTATGATTCCCTGGATTATGCAAAGAAAAATGAACCCAAACATAGACTTGCAAGACATGGCCTGTATGAGAAGAAAAAGACCTCAAGAAAGCAACGAAAGGAACGCAAGAACAGAATGAAGAAAGTCAGGGGGACTGCAAAGGCCAAGGTTGCTGCTGGCAAAAAGTGAGCTGGAGATTGGATCACAGCCAAAGGAGTAAAGATGCTGCAATGATGTTATTTATGGCCGTTGTGGATTTTTCACGAGAAGTTTAATAAACTAAAAACTTTGTGTGTCTGGCGAAAAAAAAAAAAAAAAGTAATAGTTACTAAGCACCTCCTATGTGCTGTGACACTGTCCTAGACGTTGGAAATAACCAAGGAACAACAACAAAAAATCCCCGTCTTTGGGGGTTTTACATTCTAGCTGGCCAGAAGACAGATAATAAAATATAGAACATGTTAGATGGTGATGAAATAAAGTAGGGAGGAGTGAGTGCAGGGGTGGCAAGTTTCAATTTCTTTTTTTTTTTTTTTTTTTTTAGATGGAGTTTTGCTCTTGTTACCCAGGCTGGAGTGCAATGGCACAATCTCGGCTCACCGCAACCTCTACCTCCTGGGTTCAGGCAATTCTCCTGTCTCAACCTCCTGAGTAGCTGAGATTACAGGCACGCGCCACCATGCCCAGCTAATTTTTGTATTTTTAGTAGAGACGCAGTTTCACCATGTTGACCAGGGTGGTCTCGATCTCTTGACCTCGTGATCCACCCGCCTCGGCCTCTCAAAGTGCTGGATTACAGGCTTGAGCCACCGCACCCAGCAAGTTTCAATTTCTAATAGAAGAGGAGAAGATGTCTCACTCAGCAGTTGACATTTGATGCCAGCCCTGAAGGCAGGGAGGGAGCCCTGTGGCTACTTGCGGGCAACAGCATTCCACGCAGAGGGAACCTAGTATGCAAAGGCCCTGGGGAGGGAGTGTGCCCGGTGCTTCCTGGCTTGGGGACACAGGAAGTCACGTGGTTGCAGCAGGTGAGCAAAGAGAGGTGTTTAGAAAGGCAACAGGCAAGATGCAGTTGGGGCAGATCTTGCAGGCTCTTGAAGGCCTGTGTAAGTTGCCTTTGGAGGTTTGGGACAGAGGAGTGATGTGGCCTGACTTAGGTTTTGACAGGACCACTCCAGCTGCTGTACTGGGAATAGACTATGGTGATGGGTGACAGGCAACCGCCTTCAATGTAGGACTTGCTGTCCAGCTGTGTGAAGCCTGGCCAGCTGACTGCCTCCACCTATTAGCACTTCCAGGGGTGCTTCTGCTGCCTAGATGGCCATGTTCTTCCTGGGATGGCCTCATCACTGAGCCAGGGGATGGCCAAGGCCTCGCCATTGCTGTTTGATGCAGAACTCCCCATGTGGACAGTCTCTGCTTCTGAGCTCCCTGGGACCCGTCTTGCTGTCAATCCTGCTTCCCTCCCTTTTCCGCTTATAGAAGCCACTCCCCAGTGTGGCTTTTATAAGCCTCTTAACCCTTCCTCAAAGTCCACGTCCCAGAGTCAGAGAGGCAGGAAGCGAGAGATGGAAGCAGTCATCTCAGTGAGAGATGATGGGCTGTCAGTTTGGGCTGCTGTAAGACTGAGTAGCTTAAACAATAGACATTTATTTCTCATAGTTGGGAAGCATAGAAGTCAGAGATTCAGGTGCCAGCATGGTCGAGTTCTTAATGAGGGCCATTTTCTCTTTGCATCCTCACATGGAGGAGCGAGAGAGGGACCATCTCCTTCCTGTTTCTTCTTATAAGGACACTAATCCCATTCAGTAGGGCTCCATCCTATGACCCTGAAGGCCCTACCTCCTGATACCATCATGCTGGGGGGTAGAAATTCACCTTATGAACTTTGGGTAGGAATTCAGCATATGAACTTTGGGAAGACACAAACATTCAGTCCGTATGGGGACTTGGATCAGGGTGAATGAATGAATGAATACAAAGGAATCTCCTCTTTATCTTGGGCTGTAGGGTGGCTGTGACGTTATGCAGTAGGTGTAGATTTGAAGACTATATGAAATCCTAATCTGTCATATGCATGACTGAAGGGAGTTTGCAGTGAATCCTTATGTGGTGGAGAAGGAGGATGTAGAGGCGTGTACCCCGAGAAGGCCAATGGGATGTGAGGGCCACCTTGTGGCAACACGATGTGTCCTGGGACTTGGTGGTGAACAGTAGTCACACAACACATACTGGATGAGATCAGTGAACTGCACTGCTCGGAACAGCTCCAGGTCAAAGGCAGGCTGTGCAGGGCTGGAATGTCCCCTCCTCCATGGTCCTGGCCCACAGCCTGGAGAAATGGGGCCAGGACTAAATGCTCAGTCCTTGCTGAACGTTAATTCTTTGCAGGAATAGCCCGTGGTGTTCTCTGGTTGCTCTGACCTCCAAGCCACCCTTGACCAGGCAGCCAAAACCACCCAGGGAGATGCTGGAATGCATATCGGCAACTAGGTGGAGATCACCCCTCCCTGAGACCTTTGCAACCCTCCAGCCCGAGCAGGGGCCGACCTCCAGTACATCAGGCAGAGACGTTCCTGAACACAGTCATACCTGGGAATTTGTTACATTGGTGCTAATGTTTTACCTACAGTGCCTTTTTCTACCTCTACAACAGTCCTCTGTGTAGGAAGAACTAGGTGCCATGCTGACTCTGTTCCCCTGTGCTCTCCACCCTGCCCTGTGTGCTGGGAGGCTGAATTGCCCTCTGACTTCTGGTTTGGTTAAGTAAGTGGGAGCCACTGGCCGGCAAGCAGGAGATGGGGAAGTGAATTTGGGGGATTTACCTGGTTGCTGGGATTGGCTGCATCCTATAGCTCTTGTTCACTGTTACCCCGGTACTAGCCTCAGGGTGCTGCAGTGTCCATACGGTTGAAAACAGTCTTTCTAGGAAACTCCCTTTGAAGTTACTTGGTTTTGAATGTGCCATCCGTTTTCTGCTAGGACCCCGATTGGTACAATTCCCATTGTACTGACGGCAAGACTGAGGTTCTGAAGGCCTGCCCAAGAGGTAGTGTGCTGAAGCTGTGCTCAGGGAGTGGTCAAGCCATGAATCCGTCATAGGGGTGTGGGAACAGTGTCAGCCAGCCCTGGGCTCTTTAAATTTGGCTGGCTTATCCACCCTCTAATGGCCACCCATGAGGGCACAGGTGACCCACTGGCTGGGTCTGCGATGACCTTAGCTGTCCTTGCTCGCTGTGTCACTTGGCTCACTGGCTCCTGAATTGCTGGCTCCCAGCCTTGGCTCTGTTAGTCACTAAGTGTTCCTCTGGGTTAATATAGCCTTGCACCCCCTTTTGCTTCCCATTCTGGTCTGGCCTTGGGTATTGGTATCCCCTAAATTTCAGGTCATGACAGAGCACCGGAGCAGGGCTGTGAGCCACCCCAGGGGTTGGTTCGTGCGGGAGATGAGCCTGTGTTCCTGTCTCTTAGCTCTGAGGGCACAGGTCCTACCTCCTTGTACAGTCCAGCATCCTGCCAGGGCCCTCGTGCAGTGAAAATGCTCAGGGAAAATGGGATGAGCCAAATAAAATGTGGGTGAGGGTGGGACCGCATGCTTGAGGGCAGATGACATGCCCTGTTGAGTGTACATAAGGAGTGAGAGTATGAATAACAGAGATTGTGTGCACACAGGGTAGGGATGTGTGTTGTGATGGCAGTGACCGGGTGACCTCTGTCACCCGGGAGGGAGTGTGGTTTGTCTATAATGAGAGTGGCAGTGATTGTGTGTGTACTCAGGGCGGGATCTCGTTAGGAAGGCTGGAAGCGCCGTTGCAGAGGGAGCATGGCGCTCTCTTGTGGCCACAACTAGAATCTCAACATACATATCCGTAGGTTCCACCCCAGCCTCCTCCTCTAATACAAACCCCGCTCTGGGCTGTCAACCTCAGCACCAGCCTAGACCAGCTCCAGCTCCAGCCCCAGCTGCAGCCACAGCCACAAGCCCCCACCCTAGCTCCACCCCGAGCCATGGAACTCTTTCTCTTTCTGAGGGCTGCCTTCCCTACCTTCAGGGTCCTGTGGGTAGGAGTGTGGGAGAACCAGGGACAGAGCCAACCTGTATAAAACACAGCCTTTATTGATTTCAAGGAAGCTGTGTGGAGGATGTCCTATCAGCGCATCCACCCCGAGTCCCTGGGAGCAGGGTCTGAAAGGCTGGAACCAGGCTGAGCACAGTTGTGGGGAGGAAGATGGGAACATCCACTGTCTGAGGCTGAGGGAGTAGGATTTGGAGGAAGGGGGCTTCCACTGAGCCAAGTGATGACCTGGGGGACCCCTGGGTGTCTCCAGCACCTCTTGTCAGGCTCACTGTCAGGCCTCCAGACCTGCTGCTGCTGGGAGAAGACCCCCTCTCCACTGTAGGAATCTGGGTGGCTACTCCGGAGGGAGTGGAGATGCCTTAGATGCACCAAGGCTAGCCCAGGGCGAGCGTCTCTGTTTGCGTGGGCTCCAGGCCTCTGTGGCTGCTGCTGTCTCTGCTTGGGAGCACTCCTCACCTCTTTTACACATTATATCCTCAGAGAAGCCCCTTCCTGGGTTAGCCAGGAGCCCTGCTAGCAGCATCCTAAGTGGCCCCTTGCATGCATAGATAGTTAATTCGCTTGTTTCAAAGTCTGCACTTTGGGTTGCCACTGGGTCTGTGGGTTACCTATACCTGGGTAGAGAGCCCAGTGCCTACTGTCAAAAAATATCTGCCAAAATGAAGGTTGCATAGCTTAGTGAATTCAAAGTGGAGCCACTCAGCCCCCGTAGGACCTCTCCACTCTGCCACACCACCCTGCCTGTGCCACCGGCAGCCCCTGTGTTGCCCTGCCCCTGTCCTGTTGTCAGATGGGGGTCATGTTGGGTGCAGAAGCCTGCAGCTTCTTATTGCCTGGATCTTGATCCAGCTCCCCTGCCTCCACCAGCTTGTGGTGGCAGCGGCAGGTGGAAGCCCGGCTGGCGAAGGATGAGGGGGTGCTGCCCCGTTGAGGCTTGTCCTTGCGCACGGCTCGCAGGACCCTGTGGCAGATGAGGTAGCAGAGCTCACAGATGGTGAGCACGATGCAGACGGCTGAGGCGCCCACCATGAAGTAGGTGAAGATTTTCTTCTCGGTGGGCCGGGCGATGTAGCAGTCCACAGTGTTGGGGCAGGGGGCCACGTTGGCGCACTGCACCAGGCGCGGCATGTCGAAGCCATGCCAGAGAGTGTGCAGCAGGTAGAGGAAGAGGAACTCGATGATGAGCTTGAAGATGAGGCTGAACAGGTAGGTCCACCACAGGCCCCCGTGCTTCTTGCCTGCGTTGTCGTACAGCTTGGTGCACTGGTCCCCATGCTTCTGGCGGTGACGGCGCTCCCGCTCCTCACGGTACGCCACGTGCAGGATGACCAGCAGTGAGGGGCACGTGACGAAGATGAGCTGCAGGGCCCAGAGGCGGATGTTGGAGATGGGGAAGAAGTTGTCGTAGCAGACGTTGGTGCAGCCGGGCTGTTTGGTGTTGCAGTCGAAGTCCTTCTGCTCGTCCCCCCACACGCGCTCTGCAGCTACCACGTACACCAGCACCCGGAAGACAAACACCACGGACAGCCAGATGCGCCCGAACGCTGTGGAGTACTTGTTCACGCCGCTCAGTAGGGCCTGGAGTGTCTTCCAGTCCATGGTGCCTGGCGGGGGCTGTGCCTACCTGAGAGAATTAGAGGGAAAGCCATCGTGTGAATGAATAGGTGACTTTATTGAGCATTTACTGTGCACCAGGCAGTGATCAGAGTCCTGACTTGTGCAGTCCTCACAACAACCGTCTGATATCAGAACTGTTATTCTTCCCAAGCTGCAGATAGGAAACTGAGGCAAGGTTAGATAACCTACCCAAAGGCACAGAGCTAGTATTCTGGAAGGAAGCAAACGTGCCTTTGCTGATAACAGTCACCATTTATTGAGCATTTACTCTGAGCCAGGCACGAAGCTAAATACATTATAAGCAGAATCTCATGTTCCTCACTTACAGATGAAACTGATCCCCTCTGAGCCTGTCAATCTCCACCTACCAGGCTCAAGGGATCCTCCTACCTCAGCCTGCCGAGTAGCTGGGACCACAGGTACGCACTGCCATGCCCGGCTAATTTTTCCAGCCCCCTTTTTTTCTTTATAGTACGTAGTCACTATTTGAAATTAAAGGATATGTCCTTTTTATTGGTCTTATTTATCATCAGGCTTCCGCTCTAGAATGTCATCTTGGTCTTGCTCACTCTGCAGTCGAACGATTTCAAAACAAGTAGTATGTAGTAAGTGCCTCATAAATGCTGGCTACTTATTACTGTGAAATTTAGAGAGGTCAAGTCCCTCACTTACAACAAGAGGTGGACTCAAGGCTGGACTGTTGGGTGCCAGAGCCTGTGCTCTCCACCACCTCCTCTTCCCTTCCCCGCTGGACTCCTGCCCCAGACCAGATTCTTGAAAGTGTCACTTTGTGGATGCCTCACTACTGTCCTCGAAGTTGCGATTATGAGTCCCATTCTACAGAGGGGAAACTGAGGCTCAGAGAGGGGAAATAAGCAGCCCAAGGTCTCACAGCTGCTAGGTGGTGAAGAGGGGAAACCAGCTTAGGTGGGGGGTGCATGAGGGCTTCTGATCTGACTCCTGGGAAGATACTAGATCCAGGGAATATCTAGAGACAACTCCCTGCTCCCTGTGCTGGGCCTGGGGGAGCCCAGCCACTCCCAGCCATGCTTGTTTCTGCTGGTGGCTAGGTCCTTGTGGTGGAAAGATGTGCTTTGTTCAGGCCTCAGCTCACACATCTCCCTCCCAGTCCTGGAGTGACTCAGAGGGTGTGGACGGGTGGGTCTGCCTGAGTGTGACTTGTTTCTGCCCTGTTGTGGGTGTGACAGCACTGCCTGCCTCTGTGTTTGTGTGTATGTGTGTGTGTGTGGGCCTATGTGTGTGAGTCCCCCTGGAGCTGATTTGCACCTCTGAGCATGTGTGTTGCCTATGAGGCCACCACCCTGCCCCAAACTGCCATCATTCTGGCCTGTGGTTATGGCCTCTTTACTGGTCTTTCATCTTCCCTCCTGTGCCCCTAGAGTCCATTAAATCAGCTCATGACACTCCGTTGTTTAAGACTCTACTAGCTTCTTGCTTGGCTTAGGAAAACCCCAGATTCAACATTCCCACCCTGCTACACTGGAATAAAGGCCCTGGGGGCTTTTTGTTGATTCCTTGTGCCTGGAATGCTCTTCCTTCAGAACCTCGCATGGCTGACCCTTCTCATCACAGAGGCCTCTGCTCAAACCTCATTTCTTTAGAGGCCTCCCCAGATTACCCTGGGTCTGAAAGAGCCCCTGCTCCTGTCACTCTGTGCCTGTCTCCTTTCTTTTCTTTTCTTTTCTTTTTTTTTTGAGACAAGGTCTTGCTTTGTCACCCAGGCTGGAGCGTGGTGGTTCGACTTTGGCTTACTGCAACCTCCGCCTCCCAGGCTCAAGGGATCCTCCTACCTCCGTCTCCCGAGTAGCCGGGACCACAGGTGTGCGCCACCACGCCCGGCTAACTTTCCAGCCCTCTTTGTTTTCTTTACAGCACTTAGTCACTATTAAAGAATTTGTCCTATTTTGGGGTCTTACTTATCATCTGACTCCCCCTCTAGAATGTCGACTTGGTCTTGCTCACTGCTTTATATTTAATGCCCAGTGCTTGGCACATAGTAGGCTTTCAATGCTGAACGAGCAAACAAATGAACACTAAGTTCTTGGGAGGCAGCTTAGAAGGAGGGGACAGGAGGGGAGGGCAGGATCCTGGTAGGGGGGCGCAGCCTAGACAGGGGGCTTGGGGGAAAGACTTCCCTACCCTGGCGAGAGGGAGAGAGCACAGTTCCTTCTCAGCACCTTCACCCTCCTGGATGCATTTCCTTGGGGAATCACAGTCTGGGCAGGATGGGGCAATTGGGAAGACCTCATTCCTGGAAATCCTCCTCTTCTCCCCTACACTGCTCCTTCTAAGCCCTGGTGGTGGGGGAAGGCAGTGGCATAGCCCTGAACACGGACTCCCACTTGGATTCAAACCTCAGCACCGCCATTTAGTAGCTGGGCGATTTCCAAGAATTCCCTAATCTCATTGACCCCATTGACTTATCTCCAAAGGGAAGTAATTTCTACTTTCTGGGTCTGTTTTAAGAATCTTGAGACTGTTTCCTCCCAGGCTCCCCACTCACCTGGTGGGAGTTCACAAGAACCCAAGTGGATGTGGAAGCTCTGTCTCCCAGGACAGAGAGCAGAGAGGGACCCTGACGGCTGCGTCCACTTGACACCCTCCCATGGCTGCCTGCCGGGGTGCAGCCCCCTCCTGGGCCTCCGCCTTCCACCCTCGGGTGCTGTCTGCCCAGTCCCTCCTGACACACCCCAGAGAGGAGACTCATTGGCAAAGAATTCCCTTCCCAGGTCTAGGCTAGGCACTGGTGGAGCCGGTTCTGGTTCCCCCCAGCTCCCCACAAAGCCAGCTCCCAGCGCAACCGTTTTCTCCTAGACCCCCAGATTGTACTCTGCCCAGCCTTGCCTCCAGCTCCACAGTGTCCCCCAAGGATAAAGCTTCCCTTCCTTCCCAGTTTCCCTCCATTCCAGGCAGTTTGGGAACTTGTGGACTTGGGAAGAGGGTGTTTCGGAACCTTTCCAAAGCCATGACCCCTTCTGGGCCCAGGACTGAGAGGCGAGAGGGCGGACTGAGAGGGGCGGGGGGGAGGTCCCCGCAACCCCTCTTCGTGCCCCATCCCAGCCGCGCACGCAGGCTCAAGCCCAGCTCTGCCGCTGGGGGTCGCTGCGAGCGCTCAGCGCCCTGGGGGTCCCGCCCCGCTGGGTCCAACACTTACCAGCAACAGCGCGGCCAACGCGAGGAGCCAGGCTCGGCAGTGGTGCCGGCGGCGGCGGGCGCACCCCGGGGCGGCGCGGAGGAGGGAGCTGGAGGGAGCCGGCTCCTAGATCCGACGCTGCCACGCGCTCCCGGGACAGCCTCCCAAGGGGCTGGAGGCCTGTCTGAGCCTCGGCTTCCTCAGGCAGTGAAATGGGGGCATCGGTGGCCATGGGCAGGGCGGTCCGAAGGCTCCAATGAGATCAGGGGCGGGAGGCATTCTGCAAACTGTTGAGTGCCTCGACTGCAGGTCCGACTGCAATCAGGACTCGCCCACGCTCGTTTACCGCGGGTACCTTGCCTGCTTCCGGCCCAGCCCCGTCCCCGTCCCCGCCTGGCGCGGGACCTTGACCCCGCGTGGGGCACTCCTCCGGGGAGGCCGGAGCGCTTTGGAGAGTCGGGGTGGGGGGCAAAACTTGTGCCCACAGCAGGAAGGGGCACAGCGAGTCCTGTACCAGGAGAGACGTGCAGGAGTGAGGGCGGGGTGGGGGGCATCACAGCCTGGAGAGACTCCGAGGGGCAGACTGCGACCCGAGCTGTCTACCTGAACACCAGGGTCCCTAGTTTCTTGTTTTCATTCCCAAATCACGTGTTCATATTCAACTATATATTCTTTTTTACGTTGAACCTATGGAAGAATGCTATCTACACTCTTCTGCACTTTGCTTTTTTCATTTTGCAAAATATGTCATTTCCCCCGTTAGTCCATATAGAGCTGTCTTGCTCTCTCACTTTAAAAACAGCTGAATAGAATATGTACTGTAATATGTTTAATAAGTCCTATTCTGATAAAATGAAGGCTGTTTCTAGTATTTTATTTCATTTTATTACAAATACCATCGCAGTAAAATATCCCCTGCCAAAGCAGGTGAGTCTGCGGCTGGGGTGGGGCAGGGCTGCGCCTGGGGGATAAGACCATTGTGCTATTTACTAGTGTGTTATGACCGGAAGCTCATAAGAGCCTGCAGCACCCCAGCCTTTTTTGGAAAACCCCAGGGTTTCCAGCCTCCGTGGGAGTCCCTGGATCTTAGGGTGGGGCCCGAGTCCTCTCTCCACATGTGGTGGCTCCACATGGCGTTTGCCCAGGACTGTACTGGTTTATGCCTGCATCAACTATGGTCACCCTCCTCCTACTCATTTTGATTGAGAATGAGCACTGAGTTGGGAGCCCAAAGGCATCTTTGCACCCGACACTGTCCCACATGCTTTATTTCATCCTTGCAGCATCCAGAGGAGGAAGGTCTGATCCTTCCTGCTTTTAGGAATGAGAAAGCTGAGGGACACAGGGGTGAGGTGACTTCCTCAGGATCACACAGCTAATAAGCAACAGAGCCAGCTCTGGAGGCCTTAGCAGTGTTGTTTCCAGATACATCAAAGCCACAGGGCAGAGGCTCCCTTGTACTCCCTGGGGTCATGGTCCTTGAACATCTTTGCTGAAACTGATCAGTGCTGGGTAGCCCAGGTGCCCATGTTGTGTTCTGTGCATGGGTGACGGCAGAGTGAGCCTGATGGTGTGGGGACCCGGACTCTGCCGTCTGCTGCTTTGCTCCCTGTCAGAGCAAGACTCACTCCGCTCTACCTCCCCTCCTTGTCACTGTTTGACTCCTTTGAACAATGTTCCTGTCGCTACCATGTCACTAAAAACTGCCTGTCAAGGTGTCCATGGATCTCCACAATGCTAAATCCAGCAATCACGCCTCTGTTCTCATGCCCCTTGACCTTCAGAAGCACCCGGCACAATGGACCACTCCATCCTTCTAGAAATACTTTCTTCCCTGCGCTTCCTTGACACCACAGGCCTCACATCCTGGTCTCTACGTGGGCCCAGTCTCTTTCTTCTCAGGTGTGCTCACCTGGGGCTCTAGATACCATTCATTCAACGCCGGATGTGACTACTCCCTGAACACCAGAATGCAGCCAGAGTTGTCTACCTGAGCACCAGGGTCCCAAGTTTCTTGGTTTCATTCCCAAATCACCTGTTCATGTTCAACTGTATATTCCTTTTACATTTGACCTATGGAAGTATGCTATGCTATCTACACTCTTCTGCACTTTGCTTTTTCCTTTTCCTTTTCCTTTTTTTTAGACAGAGTCTTGTCCTGCTGCCCAGGCTGGAGTGCAATGGTGCAATCTTGGCTCACTGCAACCTCCACCTCCCGGGTTCAAGCGATTCTCCTGCCTCAGCCTCCCGAGTAGCTGGGACTGCAGGCATGCACCACCACATCCGGCTAATTTTTGCAGTTTTAGTAGAGACAGGATTTCGCCGTGTTGGCCAGGCTAGTCTCCCCATGACCTCATGATCTGCCTGCCTCAGCCTCCCAAAGTGCTGGGATTACAGGTGTGAGCCATCACGCCCAGCCTGCTTTTTTCATTTAGCAAAATATTAGACATTCCCCCATCAGTCAATATAGAGCTGTCTTGCTCTCTCATTTTAAAAACAGTAGAATAGCATATTTACTATAATATATTTAATCAGTCCTATTCTGATGAAAATGAAGGCTGTTTCTAGTCTTTTATTTCATTCAATTACAAATAAAGTTACAGTGACTATCCTTGGATAATCATTATTTAACACATTTGAAAATTGTATTTATAGGATTTATTCCTACAAGTGGAATTTTTGCCTTAAAGCTGTATGTACATTTAAAATTTTGATAGATGTTGTCCAATCATCTTTATAGGTGTTTCAGTTTGCACTGCATGAGACCAGGGAGTGCCTGTATTCCCATATACTTAACAACAGAGAGCATTATCAAACTTGATGATCTTTTTCGGTGATATCTCATTATACTTTATTTTGCATTTCTCTTGATATGAGTGAGATTGAGCATCTTTTCATATATTTAAGAGCTGCTTTTGTTTGCTATTCTGTGAACTGTCCTTTGCTCATTTTTCTATTGGATGGTTGTGGTTTATTATTGATTTCTCAGGAGCTCTAAAGAAATAAGCCATTCTCTGCCTGTGATACAAATAGGAAGGATTCCCTCCAGCTCTGCTGTTTGACACCTGTAATTTGACTTTATAGATGGGGGTTTTGTCATACATAGTTAAACATGTTTTATGTAGTCCAGTGTATTAATTTTATCTTTTATGGCCTTTGGGTTTTGTTGTGATTTTGTTGCAATAACATTTTTTTCCCATGGAGAATTACAATAACATTTTTTTCCTATGGTTGCTTGTAGTTGAAGCAGTATTTTAATGATCTATTAGGTTGGTGCAAAAGCAATCACGGTTTTTGCCATTACTTTCAATGTCAAAACCGCAATTACTTTTGCACCAACCTAATAGATCATGCCACTTCTGTATGAAAACCTTACAGTGACTTAGCGTTAACCTTAGACTGATAGCCACTCTCTCGATGTTGACTCCCAAGGCACCAGGCAACCTAGCCCTGCCTCTCTCCCTATCTCTCATCCCCTTGGTCACTGTAGTGGTCTTCTTTCTGGTCCTTGAACAAGCCACATTCAGGGCAGCCTTGTTTTTTGCTTTTGCTGTTCCCTCTGCCTGGACTGCCTTCTTCTAACTCTTTACCTGGAAGCTTCCTCCTCCTTATTCAGGTCTCACCTTCTTCTAGAAGTGTTCCTTGGTCCCCACCTCCAAAGGTTCCTTGCCCCACTTTCTCAGCAGGCACTCTTCACAGCCATCTCTGAAATTATCTCCAGGAGAGCAGGGGACTTGCTGGTCGGGTTCCTGCCACATTACCAGGGCTGAGAGCGTACAGACTCTCAATCACTATTTGTAAACACTGGGTGGGCCTAAGGTTATGTGCAAAAGCTGTTTCTGTGTGTGTCAGCCTGCAGAGCCATGTGTTAAGGGTGGTATGTGGGCCACGTGTGTGTAGGCTTTGATGTGTGTGGTTGTGAATATGTGTGATGGTGGAGATGGCTGGGATGGTTTGGGAGGCTGTGTGCATGTGTGGCTGTGTGTCAGGTGGTGGTGTGTAGTAGTGTCTATGTGTGTGGTTGGGCTATTCTTCTCTGGTGACCAGGTAATTTTATCAGCTAGGCCTATCATTCTGACCCTGTCAGATGCTGGCTCTTCACTCTTGACATGAGGTAGTGCCTCCAACAACTGCTTTGGCTTTTTCTGGAGTGAGCTAGCAGAGTTTCCCATTCCAGAGAGAATGACTCTGAGGACCTTAAGGCCTTGTGGTCCCACCCTAAATTTCTGCTCCCTGAGTAGGGGAATATGTAGGAGGCCATCTAGGCCATCCCCCTGCCTCAGGACAAAGCTGGGTTTCACTAGGGCTTGGCAGCCGCCCTCAGGGTCTACACCTACTCTCTGGGGGCGGCAGGGCTTGAGCTTGCATCTCTCCCGGCCCTGGCCTTGGCCCAGGTGGTGTTCCCAGGCCGCCCTCTTCACCTAGGACTCTGCCCAGGCCTCAGGCAAGTGCTTCCTGGGATGGGCAGGCCCCTCACCTCTCAGACTACAGTTTTCCTTGTCTTTGTGTATCTGCAGCAGAGGCATGAAGGCCCTTTCCTCCATTTAGTGGAGAGGTGGGGCAGGCAGAACCCATGGAAAAACAGGTCAGGCAGAGGGATGGGGGCTTTCAAGCCCTGCTCAGGCATGTCTGGGGCTGCAGGCAGGGAGGAGGCGATCTTCCAGGCCCTGGGCTGGAGTGTTGCTTACTTTCCAAGACACTTAGAGTTGCTCGAAACTTCTGCCCACACACCTTGCTCCTCAAACGGAGGTAATATGTGACATTGTTGAGCTGCTGTTGGGAGCCAGCCATGCTAACGTGCATGTATCCTTTCTTTCCCACCATGCACCTCCCGCCGCCGCCTCCTCTTTCTCCTTCATCATTGACCTTTTGCTCTTTACTGGATCTTTCCTGTTACAATAAACATGTGGGTATTTCTCCATGTTAACAACAAAACACCTTAACCTGAACCCCACTTCTACTTCCAGCATCTGCCTCATTTCTTTCCACTCATTTTCAGCTAGATTTCTCAAAAGACTTGTCCTGATTCATTATGTCCATTTTTTTTTCATCTTCTCTTGAACTTATTCTAATCAGGGTTTTGCTTCCTATATGACACCAAAACTGCTCTTGTCAAAGTCCCTATAGTTAAACCTCACAGCTGAATTTCAATCCTCATCTTTCCCTGAACCCTGAGCAGTGTTGAATGAGGTTGATTCCTCTTGTCTTGACACTCTTCATTTGGCTTCAGAGATGTCACACTCCTCTGACTTCCCTTTCTGCACTTTCTTTCTCATTCTCCTTTCCTGGTTCCTCCAGATCTCCCTGACTTTTAAATACTGGGGTACCTTGGGGCTCA